CTCTGAGAAGACAGGGCAAAGCGATCAAGACACCTTAGAAGGATAATGAGTTTCTCAGCCCCAGGAGAAGGCTATGAAAGAGACAGAGGGAGGAAGAGAGGAGAGGGGAAGAGGAGGGAAGAAGCGAGAAGGGGTACAGAAATGGTCTTTGTTCCAGCGTATCACTTTCTCTTTCGGTCTGCCTGGCTTTGCAGATCTTTGCTCCTTCTCTGGGTACACCGGTGTGCTGGCTTCACAGAAGCCCAGTACAAAGTGCTCAGATGCTCAGTGACCATCCTGATGTATGGTGGAAGCTGCTGAAAGAGTGCTTCTGTTGGGGATGCACTGTCACTTGTGGTCTGTCCACTGCTCGTCCGCACCCCAGACTGGCCTTGCCTTCTTTTCCTGGGCCTAGTTTCTTTTATTGTTTCAATCCTCAGTAAGTCTTCATTCCAGAGTTGTCATTTCATCCAGTGTGTCTTCATGGCAAACAGTGCAGTAGGATATATGTTGGCCTGTGGGCTGCCATGTGGAGGTTTCCTCTTTTTTAAGAAAAGGAAAACAGTGGGGTCTTTGGGCAGGTTCTGAACTCGAGTCTTCCGGATGCTAAGTCCAGCACTCTATCCATCATGCATCACTGAGCTGCCATTGGTGTTGGAGTGACAGAACCTGGGTCTGACCTTTTGGAGGCAGCTTCACCAAACCTTGATGCTCCTGTTCATCCAGCAACAGAGTTTTGGGGTTTTTTTTGGGTGGGGGGGAGAGGTATGTGGCATGTAGAACCATTATTGGAGCTTCTGTATGTCTTACATAAGCATTCTAGTAAGCAGCCTCACTTTTTGCCTCACTTTTTTTTACACAATCTTGGGCAGTTTTGTTTTCGTTTTTGTTTTTGTTTTAGATGAAGCTATATCTTTATTTTTTTAATTAATTAATTAATTTTTCGTTTTCATCATTCACTTCCATAAGCTTTTGAGTTTTAAATTTTCTCCCACTCCCTCCCCACCTCTCTCCCTAAGATGGCATGCAGTCTGATATGGGCTTTACATATACGTTCCTATTAAACATATTTTCACATTAGTCATGTTGTAAAGAATAATTAGAACCAATAGGAGGAACCACAAGAAAGAAGAAACAAAAAACTGAAGAAAAAAAAAGAGCAAATAGTATGCTTCAATCTCATTCAGATTCCATAGTTCTTTCTCAGATGTGGATGGCGTTTTCCATCATGAGACCTCTGGAGATGTCTTAGATCCTTGCATTGCTGAGAAGAGCTAAGGCTGTAAAAGTTAGTCATTGCACAACGTGGCTGTTATTGTGTACAACGCTCTCCTGGTTCTGCTCACTTCACTCAGCATCAGACCATACAAGTCTTTCCAGGTTTTTCTCAACTCTGCCTGCTCATCATTTCTTATAGCACAATAGTATTCCATTACATTCATATACCACAACTTGTTCAGCCATTCCCCAATTGATGGGCATCCTCTCAATTTCCAGTTCTTTGCCACCACAAAAAGAGCTGCTATGAATATTGTTGTAGATTTCCCATTTGTGTGATCTTGGGCAGTTTTTAAAAGTTATAACTATATAAACATTTTTTAAAAATGTCCCAAAATGTCTTTTGTTCCATATTGTCATACAGTAGTCCTGAGCCAGTCCCTTCTCCTTTGCTGGTCTTGGGTTCCTCATCTATAAAATGAAGGGATTGGTTTCCTTCTACCTCTGATATTCTCATTTTAGTGCAGGTGAATAATGTGGTCAGACTGACCCTTTACTCATAAATCCTGATCTATGAAATTACATTACCACTTCTTCACTTGTTCGTGTGCCATTTTGAAATGTTATTGTTTTTTTCCCTTGTGTTTCTTTTAATGACTGGAGACTCAAGAGTTCATCGTTTTAGAGCTTAAAGATAGTTTTGTGTGACCCCCAACCCCTTATTTTATAGAAGAAGAAATCGAGGTGGCTTATTCAGAAATAATTTCTTCATTTGGAATGAATTAAAGGCATAGGTAAAAATTCATGCCTTGATGCAAACCACTGATTTATTTAAAACCATTTTGATTGCACAAAAGAAAGGGGGAGGGGGAGAGCTTTCCAGGGTCAAGGCAGCATGTTATGTCATAGAAAGAATGCTTGCTGTGGCATCAGGTGGGGGGTGGGGGGAGGGCCTGCTGCTTAACAGCTCTGTAACCTTGAGCAAGTCTGTAAATTCTTCCGAGCCTCAGTTGCCTGTCTGTAAAATAAGAGCATTGGACCAGATGACCTCCAAGGTCCCTTACAGCTATCAGGTTGTCAGAAATCAAACATTAACTTTTACAACTACAAAATAAACACTTCAGGGATTATGGGAAAATAAATATATAAAGAAACATTTACTCCTAAGGTATTTATGTATAAAACAATAAAAAGTTTAACATCTCCCACCTGAATTCAAGACTATTAGATTTATCTTTTTTGGGAGTGGGGTGGGGTTCTGTGTTTTAAAACAGAAATGGACCCAATGGCTCAGTTGCCTGGGTTTGACGTTGGCCATGGCAGCTGGATGGGGCGGTGGGACTTCTCCAGATGAGCAGGTTGAATTCATTCTTTCATGGAAACCACATTTTCCATGCTCAATCAGTCTCCTTGCATCATCAACAGTTGAGCTTGAGGTGTCCCCATGGCTCCCTTGGGGCTGAATTGGTTAGACTTTCCGGGTTCTAGTTTCTGTCTCTTCCTAACTATCTGCATTTACTTCAGCAGCTGTTGGGCAAAAGAGCTGATCTGCTCCTGAGTCTTCTGTTGTTGAATCGTTTTCAGTCGTGTCCAACTCTTTGTGACCCCATTTGGGGTTTTCTTGGCAAAGATACTGGGATGGTTTGCCATTTCCCTCTCCAGCTCATTTTATAGATGAGGAAACTGAAGTAAATAGGGTTAAGTGACTTGGTCACACAACTAGGAAGTGTCTGAGGCCAGATTTGAACTCAGGAGGATAAGTCCTCCTGACTCCAGGGCCAGCCACTCTACTGCATCATGTAGCTCCCCCATCCTAACTAAGTCTTTGCAACCAGAAGAATCTATATGCTTATTCTGTAATATAATTTTGACTAATCAAGACAAAGCAAAAAGTCCTGTTAAGTTTGTTGACCTTAGAATAGATTTGATTTGGACGTTGGATTGGTTGTTTGAATATTTGAATAAAATGGTCAGTGTCAATGTAGGTAGTGATATTTTAGACTATTAAAAATAACGCTTTCCAGAAAACCATATGCTTTCCCCCCAAAAATGATTTTTAAAGAGGGCATGCTATGTTTAGCATTCATTTATTCAGTATTTAAATGCTTACTTTGACATTTTTCCCTTAGTTTTAGAGTAGATGTGCCAACAAAAAGAAAATTCTGGAATGTTTTCATCTACATCTGTATATTCAGTAGCTGTGGCTGGGAACTGTTCTCTTTGAGGAGGAAAAGGAATGGTTTTGTTAGCCTAGTGGGTGTAGTTGTCAAGTTAGATAAAATTGAAATTCTCTCCTGATGTTAAAAGGCCTTATCAGCACTTGACTGAGTTTTAAAATCTGATCTCTAATCCTGAATTATTGAAGAGATTTCCTTGTGGTTTCCAAGTAGTGCTGTGAAGGACCAAAGTTCATTTATTACCCATTGTAAATGACCAGAAGTGGTTGGATTTAGAAGTGCATGCCTAATGATTACCCTTAAAAAATATCAACAGCCCACTTTTGCATTTCGTTGTTTATCAGCATTAGGTGAAAACCGTAAAAAAGTTGAAAGTACTACCTGAACAGGATATTAAAATAATGTGTCAGAACTGCTCACATTCATATTTTAAATATTTCATAGTCATAGCTAAAAGACTGACACACATAGACACTTGCACATATACATCCAACTGTGCTTTGAAACAGGGATTTTTTTTTTTAACCCTTCTTGGTTTTTGGTGCAGTTATCTGAGGACTTCTAGGCTTACCTAGTAATGAGGTAGCACAATAAAGAGAGCTCCAAACATGGAGTTGGGAAGACCTAAGTTCAGATGCAGGCTCAAACACTTAACTAACTAGGTGGTCCTAACCAAGTCTGTTAACCTTTGCTTGCCTCAGTTTCCTCATCTGTAAAATGAGCTGGAGAAGGAAACGGCAAACCACTCTAGTATCTCTGCCAAGAAAACTCCCAATGGGGTCACAAAGAATTGGACATGATTGAAAATGACTGAACAAAACAGCAACAAAATGGGGTGATAATAATGTCACCGCCCTCCCAGGATTGTTGTGAGGGTAAAATGGGATAATATTGATAGCACTTTGCAAACCTTAGAGAATTATATAAATGCTAGATATTATCATTGTCCTCCTCCTCCTCATCCTATCTGCACAGTTAGTGGACATCTGCTACTTAGGACTTACGTGGCCTTGCGGTCTTGGGTCCTCAGTTTCTTAATCTGTAAAAGGAATGGGTTGGACTGGATAACTTCAGAATTCTCTTCCAATTCAAAATTGATATGACAATCCTAGAAAGTAAGGACTAAGTGAATTTATAAAAACCATGCGAGATTTCCATTTTCTGGAGACTTTTGGGGAATGGCAAGACTTCAGTCGCAGGCATTGAGATCTTTGAGTTGAATTGTATAGGTAATTGTTGAATGGTTGCTATCTGCACTAGACTATATGATTTTTCTTATCAATTGGTGATCGTTTTTGATGTATTCCCACCCTGGGCAGAAGGTTCCACTGAGTAATAAAATTAGGATGCTAGATTGGGAACTGCTTGTGAGAAAAATAAATTCAATTGTGGTCTTAGAAATGGAAATGAAAAGCAAAAAAAAAAAAATAAGTATTGAATGGCCAACCTTTTTTTTTTTTATCATAATCAGTTTGTTTATATTTATCAGTTTATCAGCCTAAGAACAATTTAATTTTTTGTTTGTTTTTTGAATTCTTACATTTTATTTTCCCCCAATTACATGTAAAAATAATTTTTTTGGCAAGGCAATCAGGGTTAAGTGACTTACCCAGGGTCAGACAGCTAGTAAGTGTCAAGTGTCTGAGGCTGGATTTGAACTCAGGTTCTCTTGACTCCAGGGCCGGTGATCTGTCCATTGCACCGCCTGTAGCTGCCCCAACATTTGTTTTTAAAACTTTGATTTCCAAATTCTCTCCCCTATTCCCTCCCAACCCCTCTCATTGAGAAGGCAAGCAATTTGATATAGGTTATACGTGTGTAGTCATGCAAAACATATTTCCATATTAGTCATGTTGTGAAAGAAAACATAGACCAAAAAACAACCTTCAAGAAAAATAAAGTTTAAAAAAGGTATGCTTCGGTCTATATTCAGATACCATCAGTTTTTTGTCAGGGGGTTGGATAGCATTTTTCATCCTAAGTCCTTCAGAGTTGTTTTAGATCATTGTGTTGTTGAGAATAGCTAAGTCAATCACAGCTGATCATCTTACAATATTGCTGTTACTTTGTACACAGTACATTTCACTTTGCATCAGCTTGTATAAGTCTCTCCAAGTTTTTCTGAAAGCATCCTGCTCATCATTTCTAATAGCACAATGGTATTCCATCACAATCACATAACACAGTTTGTTCAGCCAAATGGCTAACCTCTTAGCAAGCACGTTTTATTCCTCAAAATAAAGAGATAGATATTCTTTGCAATTGGGGACTTAAATGTCGAAATTCCTTTAAGATGCAAAAATATCTACCATTTTGTGAGACATCTGATGTCACATAGAATCTCCTAAAAGGATCCATTGTAGCATTTCTTGGGTCAAATCTAATCTTTAGCTAGGAATGAATATTAATAGTGCAGGCCTATGATAGAAAGACATAGTGTCTTGTCTCATGGCAACCCCACAACACCCTAACCACTTCCTTGCTGTCTTCTCACTGTATTGGTTCCTAGTTTGTGGTATTTTGTGTGTTTTGAAGGAAATTTCCATCTCCCACCACAGGGTGGATTTTAAGAATGAAGCTGACTTCTGTGCTGCTTTGAGTATTTTTTTTTTAAGAGGTGCCATAGGATTTAGAGTTGGACAGGACTCTTCTGTTTTTAGGAGTGAGGACGCTAAAGGACCTGCCCATCATCACACTGTTAATTAGTGGTAGAGTGGGGATAGAAACCAGTGGCTGTTGGATCCTTGATGGAGGGTGAAAAGGGATCATCTCACCAGTTAATCCAGAAGTATTCATTAAGTGCCATGTAGGTAAGAGGCCCAGATCTAGGCATTAAAGATAAAAGGTAAAAATGAGAAAATTCCAGCCCTCAAGAAGTTTATATTCTTTAACAAATAATAATAATAATTTATTAGAATTCATTATTAGAATTTATTAGAATCTGTTAGAACTTAATAGAATTTATATAGCACCGTAAGGTTTTCAAAGCACTTTACATAGGTTATTTCATTTGGTCCTCACAACAATCCCAGAAGGTAGGTAGCTGCTGTTACTCCCATTTCACAGATGAGGAAACTGAGACTGAGAGTAGTGAAGTGACTTGCCAAGGGTCACATGGCCAGTAAGTATCTGAGGCAGGATTTAAACCCAAGTCTTTCTGATTCCAAGTCCAGCCCTCTATCCAGTATAATGCCTAGCTGCCTCTACTAAAAGACACAACAGGTATATTTGTATGCATACATGCACGTCTATAGATGTAGACAGGTATGGGCAGCTACGTGGAGCAGTGGATAGAGTGCTGGGCTTGGAGTCAGAAAGATTCATCTTCATGAGTTCAAATCCGGCCTCAGATGCTGACTAGCTCTGTGACCCTGGGCAAGTCACTTGACTCTGTTTGCCTCAGTTTCATCATCTGTAAAATGAGCTGGAGAAGGAAATGGCAAATCACTCCAGCATCTTTGCCCAGAAAACCCCAAATGGGGTCACAGAGAGTCAGATACAACTGAAATGACTTAACAACAACGATAGAAGTTATAGCTGTAGGTAGATAGGAATAGGGTCTGGACTGGTGGGATATATATCCTAGATGAGGAAACTCTCTATTAACGTTAGTGCAGTTTGCTCAGCTTAGAGTCTCGGCTGCTCAGAGTCCTGTGGGGTGTGTCGGTATGTGTCAGAGATGAGATTTGAACCCAGGTCTTCAAGCTTCAAAGCTGGCTCTCTCTCCACTAGGGAATAAAAAAAGATGAATAAGGGAGAGTCACTGCTATCCCTCCGGCCTGCGGCTGGTGAGGGTGGTCTGGACAGTGCAGGTGTGAGGCAGTTCTACCAGTTTGGAGGCCTTGGGCTTGATTTTCAGAGAGAAGGCCAGGAATGCAGTGCTGGGAAGCAGGAGCCCAGTGAGGCGTAGGAGCCACAGGAACGCTGGAACTGTCAAAGACGGGAGGAGCTGAGCACAGGACCCCCCTGGGGCTTACGGTGTAAGGGGAGCTTCCGGGTGTCAGCCTTTCCTAGGCTGAGGGGTGGGTGGGGAGCGTTTGGGCTTTTACAGAGTTGCGAGTGCTGTTGGTGCTGTCAGTACTTCTGTTGGAGAAGCTCAGGCTTTTTCAGATCGAGCTGTTGGCAGATCCTTCTCTCTCGCCTACCTAACTGAAGGCATAGTGTACATATACCCCTCAAGGCAGGGATTCTTAATTTTCTTTGTGTCATGGACATCTCTGGAAGTCCATAAGCTGAAGCTTATGGACCTTTTTTTTTCAGAATACAGTGATGTTTTGTTTTGTTTTGAGGCAATCTGTGTCAAGTGACTTGCCCAGGGTCACACAGCTAGTAAGTGTCTGAGGCCAGATTTGAACTCGGGTCCATCGCACAAAATTAGGGGGGGAAGGAAGCGTGAGGGAGAGAGGGAACTTCTATGAATCTCTGCCTGTCTTATCTTTTTACTCCCCTCATCTGATCCCCTCTTAGAGCCAGACAGGATCTGCTGGAGCAGTTAGGTGAGTTCTTAACTGGGGGGGCTTTTCAGCATGGCTAGCTCAGAGTTTCCTTGACGAAGGTGAGAAGCATGAGACTGCAGTCTTTGGAAGGTGGTAAACAAATGATGTGTGCCTGCCTTGGGACTGCAGATGGAGGAGTTGGGGACGTCTTGGAAACCAAGAATTTGAGAACTGGGAGAGGTCTTAAGCAGAATGACAGTGGGCTTGGAAGGCTTGGGTGATGTCTCACAACTCTTCTGGCTCCAAGCTGCCAGGCGCCATTTTAAAAAAAGAAAAACAAAAAAACATTTCAAGCAGCCCAAAAGACAGCTTCATTCTTAAAACATTATCTGGGGTGGGCAGAGATGGGGAAAGTGAGGTGAAAATGAGATGATCTGGCTGGTTTGTGCCAGAAGCCTCCTAACTTCCATTTCTAAAGAAAGAAAGAACTTTCCAGTGACCTTTCTGAAGCTGGGGTTGGCAAAGACAAGAACGTAGGGAGCGTGGAGGAAGAAGAAGAGCTGGTGGTAGTTAGAAGACTGGCTGAAAGAGAGACGTTTAGGGTTTTAGTGTGGGTCTGCCCTGAAGAAGAAGGAGGGGCGTTTGACTGTGAGGCCAAACAGGAAAGGTAAACTGAGGCCCGGGGAGGTGGCAAGATAGATTTCCACGGTCATGTAGGTAGTAAATAGCCAAGATGGGATTTAAATTTGGGCCAAGTCTAGAGCCAATGTTCTTTCTGTTCTAAACACACTGGCCACCATTTTTAAAGCTCCTTTTGTTTAAAATTTTAAAAATATACATGTATACACATATACGTGCTTGTGTGTGTGTACACCCACGCTACAACAAATAATCTGGCCACCTGAGCTCACTGTAAAATCCCACCTGAAGAAACCTATCAACAAATTGTAATTGCCCTGGACCCTCTGTAAACTTCTCCTGATAAACGGGTTCTACCATCCCCTTAACATCCTTGCAGCATAAAAGAAGCTGAATCTGAATTGAAGAAGGCAGTTGGATGGTAATCCTTTTCATCTTCTGGGAGGTGTGGGGAAAAAAAAAAGAAGCAAGCAGGCAGTTTCTAGCTGATCTCTGAGGGAGCCCTTAGGCTTTTCTTAAAAAAAAAAAAAAAGATTTCATTTCTTTGCTGAAATGTTGATCCTCAGTGAAAGCTAAAACTCTTCACAAATTAGGGTGTGCACACCTGTTTCTCATGGGGCTATGACACCTGCATATCAGCTGAGGCCTATGGATTAACCCTTTGATGACTCACAGGAGAACTTCTTTCTAGAGGTTTTTTTTTTCTTTTTTTAATTTTAAGGGGTTACATTTTCTAACAGTTTTCATGTTTAATCAATGTGTTATGTTGGCTAGAAAGCCAGCTTTGGAGCCAGTAAGACCCAATTTCAAGATCTGCCTTTGACACATACTGAGTGGATGATTGTGGGCAACTCTCTGAAGATGAGAAGATGCTAAGTGGTAGTGTGGATAGAGTGCAGTACTTAAGAGTCAGGAAGACCTGAATTCAAATCCTCCCTCAGACGAGGACTAGCTGTATGACCCTGGGCAAGTTACTTAACTTCTTTTAAGCCTCAATTTCCATATCTGTAAAATAGGGATAATAATAGTACTGATTTCAGGATGAAATAACATGTAAAGTGCTAATAATGTTTTCAAATGCATAACATATATGTAGGAGTACGAAGGAGACCAATTATACTGAAATACGGTGATCACAATATTAAAAACAAACAAGCAGGTTAAGAACCCTTGTGAGGAAGCATGAGGGAGGCTTTCCTAGCTCCTTGCTCCCCTCTTCTGATCCCCACTTAGAGCCAAGCAGGGCCTCCTAGGGGGGGGTTCTGTGAGTTCTTACCTGGGGGAGCTTCCACAGCGTAGCTGGCCAAGAGTTTCCTTGGCTGAGGAGAGAAGCACGGGACTGAGAGGTTTCCTCACCGGTGAAACCCTAGGTCCCGGGATTTTTTTGGAACCATTTGGTGCTTGAGAAACTTCCGATCTTGGCATTTCTTTGCTGTGTAGTCATTTTGGGTGTGGTAGCTGAGAACTCCCCTGCAGAGTCTTGGAGTAAAAAGTCTCGGGTCGATCACTCTTGGTGTCCTGGTCCAAAACATGAAGTGCCATACGCTGCCTGGAAGATTCCCTCTGGCTCTGATGTCCTGGGATTCTAGGTCATGCATTAGGGCACGCAAGCTATCATTTCCTCTGTGCAGGTGCTCCTTCTGCCAGGGCCCAAGGTCACACAGCCAGTAGGTGTCACAGACAGCAGCAAACCATTCGACTACAGAGTTTCAAGAGCCTGCTCCCTGGCCAGCTGTTTTTAGCCAGAATGATTCAAGGGGTTGAATTCTGAGCTTCCTTCTGTTTTTCCTCTTCCTGTTTTTCTTGAGAGAGGAAGAAGAGCATCGTTGTCCTGCTGATTCACCACCTGGGAGGTTGGGGCGGGGTAGGGGATTGGTTGGGGGGGAGGGAGGACAGCAGCCTCTGGAAAATTGAGTGTTGGCAGAACTTGGTTTATTGACAGGAATTTCTAATCATAAGCCCAGGGAATGGGCTACAGTTCATCTTTGCATTGTGAAAAGTTTGTTTTAAAAAAAAGGAGGGGGGAATCATATTGAGCCAAACGTAGACTCTTAAAATGAGATCTTGTCAAATAGGGAAAAAAAAAAGTCAACAAGCATTTACTAACTGCCTATGTACCTGAGACTGCAGTAAGTACTGGAGATACAAAGAAAGGGAAAAACAGTCCCTGCCCCAAAAGAATTCGCAATCATCAAAATAACAATGATAAAGGGGTGCATTCAGATTTTATACTGGCCAGATTTGGGGCAAGGGGAACGGGAAGCAGAGAAACAGTTTCTGAGTACCCACAAAACCCTGGAAGCCTCAAGTAGAGAAGACAAATTGTGATAGTTAAAATCATTCCTCCTTGTTAAAGAAGACCCCTTAGACCTTTAGTACGTGTGTGCTGTTAGCCTAGTTTGTATGGGACACCTGTTCCCTTAGAGGGCTGGGATGAGTTCTGGAGCTTCTGGGGAAAGAGAGAGTTCTGAGAGCATTTATGCCCAGCCCCAAATGCTTAGACAGCAACAGCCTACTTGCTTAGACTTTTTCAACACTTTTTCAAGTCTTTTTTAGTTATATCAGGGACAAGCCTCACTTAATCATTTCTTGTTGATCATTTAATAAAAATATTTAAGTGCCTGTTATGTGGCAGACTGCAGATATGAAGACAAAAATGAAACTGTCCTCGTCCTCAAGGAGGTTACATTCTATCTGAGGAAGAAACAACATGTAGAAATATAAAAATACAAACTATATACAAAGTAAATTGAGTGGGGAAGGGAGTGGGGGATGTAACATCCTAGGGGAATTCAAGGAGGGCCTTATGTAAGAGGGAGAGCTAAGCCGAGCTTTGGGGATGATCCGGATCATCGGATCCAAGTACCAACCGCCTTCCCCCGCTCAATTTAGACGTGGAACTGAAGGCTCAGAAAGGTTAAAAGATTTGCCCAAAGGTCACACGTAGCTGATAGAACCAGGATTCCAACCCAGGTCCTCTTTCTGCAATCCCAGTACTCTTTCTGTTGTTCCTTGCTGCCTCATTCATCCTCCACTTAAAAGATGAACTTTATGCCTGATTGATTTTACAGTTAATTTTGGTGCCAGAGTGACCTAGCCCATTTAGCGTTGTGCAGAAGTGGGGAATCTTTCCCCCTCACTCAAATGTGCTTTTCATTTCATGTATTTCTGATTTCCAGGCCATAATAAAGAATATTTATCTTAACTAGGGCTCAGTTTCTGTGTCTGTAAAATGAGGGCAGTTAGATTCCTAAGGTTGATTCCAGCTTTAATGTTCGACAAACTTATTTAATATTTCTGCCATCATGATTCATGGTTCTAACAACTCAAGAATATTTTTTCACAAGATTGGTGGTATTTCTCTAATAGAAGAGGAGATCAACAATTCCATAGGACTCCAGACATTCTGCTAGCTTGTGGAATATAAGGAGCATAGTACTTGCTAGAGGGCCATGATGACCAGAGGGGAAAACTCCCTTAACCTCTCAGTGCCTCAGGTATCTCTATAAGGAACTGTAACCATACCTCTGAGCCCAAGGATTGCCTTTCTTTGTATCCTCGGAGCTCGGCACCATGCTTGGCACTGAGTTAGTGCTTAATAAAAGTTTGTTGACTTGACTTCTTAGCCTTTTTGTTTTATGGACCCCTTTGGTTGTTTCTAAAGCCTGTGTACCCCTTCTCATAATAGCGTCTCTAGGTTCATAAAATCCACAGTATGACGAAGAAAGCAATCATATTGAAATAAAGTTATCAAAATAGATATTTTTTTAAAGTTCATGGATCTCAGGTTAAGGACCCGTCTGTGAGGCTGCGAGTTATAGACTATTTGGTAATTTGCATTAGGGAAAGGAGTTTTCCCATAGAGATGAAACCACTGGTTCGTACCCACCTTGCAGAAAATCATAACTGGAAGAGACTTTAGACTTAATCTAATTTCGTGATTTTCAAAATAAGGAAATCGAGGCACAGTCAGTCCACAATTTATCAAGCACCCACTGTGTGCCAGGTGTTATGCTCAGCTCTGGAAAAGTCACATGGTTTATCCAAGGGCAAACAGCAGCAGATTTGAGGCTGACACAGGACTCCTAACCCTCCTAGCTCGGTTGATGTGGAACATTGTGACCTCTCCCAGGTGAAACACCATCTGACCCTTTTTACAGTAGGTGTATTATACCATCTGCTCTCCCAGTTCATATCCCATTTACACCACAACATCAGCCATATTGGAAAATGTATATTTGAAGGTTGGGATACAATTCCAACACTGTGTTCATTTCCCCTTTGAGTGAACTGTATGTGTCATTTCAGCTTTCTGTTTGTTTGAAAAAACAACCACTAAAGGTATTGAATGTTTTCAGGATTTAAAAACAAAGTAAAAAAAAAACTGGATTAAAGAATTGTTTTGCAACTGTGAAGTATATCTAATTTAAAAAATTGATGTATCTCTGATTTTTAAAGTAAAAGTCTGACATTTGGACCAATAAATCCCCTTAGTTTGGAAGAAGTTAGAGAATACTCTGATGAAAATTAACAAGGGGTTTATTTTTTAAAAATAATTTTCTCTTGAGATAGGTATTACCCAAATTATTAGGGCCATTACAATTTCCGTTCTCAGTTTCAAATTTTTTTGAGTTGTGAGATTTGTGTGACTCATTGACTCATTCCTTAACCATTAAAATGAGTTCTTGAACTTGGCTGTTGTATTTCTCTGACAGGCGTCTAGATGCCAACCACATTACCTCAGTCCCCGAGGAGAGCTTTGAGGGTCTCATTCAGTTACGGCATCTGTGGCTCGATGACAACAGTCTGAGCGAAGTTCCTGTCCGACCACTCAGTAACCTCCCCTCTCTCCAAGCTCTGACCTTGGCTCTCAACAAGATCACGAGCATCCCTGACTTTGCCTTTACCAACCTTTCAAGCCTTGTGGTTCTGTAAGTACATGCTACTTTAAATTTCTTATGCAAGTCAGTCTTAAGAAGTCTTTAGTACGTGATGGGCACCATGCTAAATGGAGAGACAGGAATGTGAGGGAGGAGTGTCTTTTAGCATTTCTTACTTTAACTCTATAAAAAGTACTTGGTCTTCTGTGGCACGTTACTAGAAAGCCAAAACAGTGCAGCTCCCACCGATAGAGAAATGATTATTCTGCTGAACTGCCCTGGTCAGGCCACACAAAAAATAATCTCAACAAGCATTTATTAAGCCTCTGTGGTGTGTATAATAATATCTACTTTGGTCTTTGAGATGGCATAAGAGAAAGTGCGAGGCAAGATTCGATCAATAAACATTTTTTAATGGGCCAGGCATTGCTAAGCGAAGGGCAGGCACAGGGGGGTCTCAGTCTGCATTGTTAAAGGAAACACCCAGACTGATTCGATGAGAGCTCTATGTGAGGAGGTATGTGGCAGGCATTGGGCATACAGTGCCCACAGTGATCTTATAGTCTCCCTAGAGTGGGAAGGGGTGGTAGGAGATATGACATGTATGCTATTGAGAATGTGCATGACAATTTGAAGAGGGATCAGAGGAGTCGGCAAGATCTTGCCGTGGGAGTTATCACAAGAGATGTGCCTTGAATGGTGCTTAAGGATTCTAAGGAGGGAGGCATGAGAACAGCAAAGGCATGAAGATAGGAGATGAAATATTTAACTTGGGGAAAAGGAAGCAGGTCAGTTTATCTGGAAAAAAGAAAGCATGAAAAGAAGTATTATGGAATAGATCAACAAAAGTCCACTGGAACCCTATTGTGAAGGGTTTGTCATTTAGGGAGGTCTTTTTGAACTCATCTTCCTGAGTTCAAATCTGGCTGCAGACACTTAATAGCTGTGTGACCTTGGGCAAGTCACTTCACCCTATTTGCCACGGTTTCCTCATCTGTAAAATGAGCCAGAGAAAGAAATGGCAAACCACTCCAGTATCTCTGCCAGGAAGTCCCCAAATGGGGTCAAGAAGAATCAGACATGACTGAAAAACAACTGAACAACAAACATCCTTGAGGTAACAAGGAGCCAAGGAATGACATGGTCAGATTTCTACTATAAGAAGGTTGTTTGGGCATCCATGAGGAGGATGGACCCGAGAGGGGAGGGGCTACAAGCAGGGAGTCCATTTCAGGAGGCCAGAGCAAAATCCACGTGAGAGGTGAGGAGGGCAGGCCTGAATTGAGAGCATCTAACTGGTTTTATGGCATTTTGAGACCTTCTGGCCTTGCCATCAGATTTACTGTATACAGAGACCCAAGCGGAGCCAAATACTATCTAAACCATGTTTGGTTTGGGCTTTAATGGGGATCCTGAGTTTCTTTTTAGCTCGGGCTCAGCAAAACAAAATGATATTTGGATTCGTTTGGGGTCAGGGCTTAACAAATTAGTACATTTTGTTCCAGGTTTTGGTTCAGGTGTCTGCTGTCCATGCCAGGAGGTAACTGAAATTAAATTCTGTTCAGATGCTCCTGTTACAGACCTTTTGCAAGATCAAACTGCCCTTCTCCCCTGTTTACAAATGACCAAGGGCAAATGATGAAGATTTTGTAATGGCTTATATTTAAGATTCAATTAACGTTTTCCCTCTGTTTTAAAGAGGTAAGTAGAACATGAATCCAAAGAAGCTGTGTTCCATTCCCATAAGTACACAAGGGACTAAAATGCCCTTTCCCTCTGCCTCGATATTGGATCAGAGGTTAAAACAGGACAACACCTTCGAGGTC